GAGAGGGAGGTCTGGGTCTCTGCTGAGGCTGCTGCCCCCGAGACCTGACCCTGAGACCTGACCCTCGATTAGAGGAAGAAGATGGATGAAGGGATCTTTGATTTTAACTTAGATATTTTATTTTTCAGGTTATTTTTCAAAACTTGTTGCCAAATTAGAATAAAAATAGAGATTTTTTTTTATTACAGTTTTGATGCATAGGAGCTTTTACTGGTTGATCTTTAATGAAAATGTTTTATTGTGGAACAAAATGTTTTGATTTTTCACAGCCTGATGAGACAAAGTTTCATGTTTTTTATTTTCTGATCTTTTATTTTGAATAAGAAGAGTTACATGCTGTCTTGTTCTTGTCTTACTTTCTCTTCCTGTGTAAAGTTTTACTAAAGCTGCAGCTGCTGATGCAGCTGAAACACTGACCAATCAAATATTGGACATCAGGCACAGACAGTCAGCAGTTTGTGTTTGAGTTCCTGTTCTGTGTTTGTTTTGTGTTTGTTCTGTGTTTGTTTTGTGTTTGTTCTGTGTTTGTTTTGTGTTTGTTTTGTGTTCAGTTGTTCAGGGAAGATAAGGAAGCTCTCTGGAGGAGTGGAAAAGTTTAAATGCATCCATTCAATGCACAGGACTATTTATTCATTGCATTTCCCATTTGTTTCCATTACATGTGGAAAACAGGTGAATTCAAATGGGAACTTGCTGGTTAAGTGACTGTTTGTCTTCATGGACCATAAAAATAATATTAAAGTCTTTGATTTAAATAATAAACAGGACAAACACAACCATGACTAAATGTTGTGTAGAGTCTGTTCCTGTCTTTCAGTTACACACTGGAAAACAACAACAACTTCTGACTGTTAATAAGTTTTCATTCAGAGCAGAAAAGTTTCACTTCAGGATTTTGAATGAATAAATCAGCACACAGAGAACTGTAGGATTTTTATTAGTTTCTTTAGTACTACATGACAAATGCAGTACTTTGTGAAGATATCTTTTCAAACACACATCAAAAAATATTTGGATTAAAGTGGAACCAGCTGCCAGTTATTTTCTTAAAGAGACATTTCAGGTATTCTGACACGGCATAAATGGGAAAGGTTGGAAAGGTTTTATCTTTTTTAGAAAGCACTTTGAAGAGTTTTTCTTTTTTGAGAAATGTGTTCTCAGTCCAGTCAAACCAAAACTAAAGACCAGTTGTAACACAGTCAAGACTGAAGTAGATTATTGTCATTCAATGTAATTATAATTACARTGATGTTGGGACATTGTTCAAAACATAAATAAAAACAGAAAATGAWGATTTTCTAAATCTTTTCAACCCATTTTCACTTCTACACACTACATGACAAGAATTTACTGTTCAAGTGGATAAACTTTATTGTGTTATTTTTGAAAATATTCATTGTTTTTAAATTTGATGCTCATTTGGTAGAGCTGATGCCTCTCAGTAAGAAGGTCACTGGTTCAAATCCCGATCCAGGGACCTTTCTGGGTAGAGTTTGCATG